CTCTCTAGTATCATCAACAATTAAAGTAGCAGACTGTAAAAAAAAAACAATTAAAATGGCAACCTCATAAGCAAATCGTGAATCATCTTTTACACCATCCTCCTCTCTTTTAGCAAGCAACTTAATTTAAACTTGTAGAACAGTGATTTCATTTAATCTATCACTTTTATATTGAAATTATTTTACTAAGATATTATTATTAGTTAAATCTAACATCTCTTGCAATTGTTGAACAATTGAATTGCATAAGGGATTTGCAGGTGGATTTGTGAAGAAAAAATCTAGTCGGTTTTGGAGTTCATTGTCGGTGTAATATATGTAGAGTTGAGCAAGTTTGATTTGTTCCTTTTAGTTAGTACCAAAATACCGATTCGATAATATACTTGATCTTCAATCAAATAAACATATACTCTGCATCCATCATATAGAGATCGGTAAAGTTTACCTCCAATAAAAGTTAATGTAAAAACCCATTCAGCCTCATATATGTTCCAAACAGTGACGTCCCGTTGAAGTATTTGTTTGTAATAGTAGATTCAAAACCTCTGGAGGGTGCCCTCGAGGAGAAAGGTTAACTTTTCCTTGTAAGTTATTCATCTCATTTCGAGGTCATGTATAAGAACAAAACAAATAAGTACTGTAGCAGCCAACACAAAATTTGATAACATATGAATGGAAAACAAACATGAAATCAATGGAAAACCAGTAGAAATGTTAACAATTTTTCATATATATGCCTTTGCCTTGTATAACACGTTTTCTTCTTGCTAATATTTCAATGGTTGATCAATTCTCTTCAACTATGACTTATGTGCATTAATTTATGAAATATAAAATGGAGATCAAAAGTTCTGTAAGATCAAGCAGTGTGAAATAGTTAGAGATTATAAACAATTGATAGTCATCGATGTTCTTACTATAAGAAAACTTAAATTGCGCTTCAATGTGGAATAGTTAGAGATTATAAACAATTGATAGTCATCGATGTTCTTACCATCAAGAAAATTAAATTGCACTTAAAAAAGAGACTGATCAGAATGAACCATACCTTCTGGTGGCATAACACGACTCTTTTTTTCCTAAATCACACGTGACATGGACATACATTAAATTGTAAGATGTATATAATTATCTCAATAAAATTATATGTACTCATTCAAATTTTTTATGAATAAAGCACTATTTAGTTGCTTAAATGATTCTCCTCGGGAAATATTTTTTTCGGGGCATAGAAACGGGAAAAATAATCACTCATAATAATGTAAAACATAATCAAACAATACCTTAATCATCTGTTATTATGATCTACTTCATAGACAATTACTGTGAAATTGATGAATAAAAGCCACATATCAACAGTTTCATGAAAGTTTTTTTTATCATAAGTTTCATGAAAGTTAAATTAAAGAAACCAAATAACCGACTTCTCTTGATGGATATTCTTCAATCAACAAAGCAAAGCAATAGTCCTTTACCGCCGCGGCCCGACGCATAATTTTCGAACGACATGGAGAGGGCTGGAAGTTTGGTACCGGTATTTGGGATGTACCGAATACCGTACCGAATTTGCCTATATTTGGTATTACCGAATACACGTATTATTTCTTGGGATTGAGATTGGGATTCAATTTCAATTGTTATTCGGTGTTAGAGATTACGGGATTGGGAACGGTATATACCGAAATACCGAACAATACCGAAATATAAGCTAGTGTGTATTTTATCCTCTCAACTAGACTCTCTCATTCACTACTACACTACCCTCAACCACCAATATATTGTTATTTTCATAACATCTAAAAGCAAACACTAGTATTAGTCTTCTCTCAGCCTCCAATTCGTCAAATTAAAGATTACCAATGAAAAAAACTTGAGATGCCACCTCTACTCCATTCTCCTTATCCATATCCTAGCTCTAGCCAAACTCAAAATTATTTGTTTAGTCTTTTTGACCTATATTAAACAATCAAATCTAATTTATATATTTAATTATTAATTATTAAGGTAATTAATTTCGTATTCGATAATACCAAATGGGATACCGAAGTACCGATTGGGATACCGAAATATTTAGGGATTGGGATTGGGATTGATTCTAGGGTGTAATTCGGTATTCGGGATTTCGGTATTTGGTATTGGGATACCGATACCATTCCGATTTCCACCCTAAGCATGGACGTAATTTACTATTCCGGGAGCCTTAAACAATAAACAGTAATCAAAGAGATGTTTAGAGAGATACATGTGAACTTCGTGGACCGTTATGATGCATGATATTGATTGCTGGTTTTGTTAGCAAATATTGTTACTTTTAAGCTTTGTAGATTTGTTTTACTATAAGCTACAGCAAGGTAGTTAAAATTATGATTTAAATTCTAACGCTTACAATTTTATGATATTATTTAACTGTTTCGATTCTAATTTCACTATAAACTCTATGGATCTTAAAATTCTACACTATTCACAATTTATTTAAAATTTTTAAAGTCTAATTTTTCATAAGATTTTAACCAATTTAACGTCCAAGTTGAATTGATTGAGTTTGGACCAAATCGAAGTGAGGTAATGGAATAAAATCAAATCTTTGAATCAGTTTTACTTATTTTCCCTCAAATTAGCAAAATATAACGCCTTTTTCTCGTTTTTCTCCATCAACATCATCTAGATTCATCTCATTCATCATTGCTAATTCATAGCTTCCCAATATTAATATTGAGAAATTATCGTTTTATGTCTTATGTGTCTTTGTGTTATTCATGATTTGTCATTTGAATATTATTTAGTATTTTTTTATATGAACGTTAAAATCCTCCAATTTAACAATTGAAGTTTTGCTCCAATTTTCAATTTTATGTAAAATCCGACATTCATTGCATTCGATGTGGTGAAGGTCTCAGCTTCTTCGTACTTGATGAGGAAGCTATGCAAAAATGTGCTCTTGTGGAGGAAGCTCAACTAAAAAGGGTTGTGATGAGCATTTATAAATCTATTATTAATGGGGTTTTATATTTTAACTAGGCCTATAATGAATTATATTCTAGAGGGAAGGAGGAGTTATTAGACATGCAAATCTCACAAAAAAACTTGAGAGTTAACTATCCCTAATTTTGAGTGATAGTTTGTGTCACCTCAAGCAAACAATGATTGTATTGTTTGTCCAAAAAATTATAAAGAACAATGCATGTGTAAAGATCCTTCCAATCTATTTCTCTTGGTTTGTAAGTTATTCATCTCATTTTGAAGTCTTGTATAGGAATTAGTAAAATAAGCAAGGGAAGGAGGAGTTATTAACCGAGAGTGTGAGATGTCTATCAATTGTTAATTTCCGCCACCTGGCTAGATTATAACGAAAGATGTCTTTGGATTATAATGAAAAAGGCCAAATTAAGCTTGGCTGGAAATATATTTGTTACGGAGAGGAAACCTCCAAAATGCCCTGCCGTGGTTTGGGCACAGGTCACGAAAAAGAAATTAAATGGGTGCTGGAGTAGAAACTCCATATAGGTATTGTTAGATGTTAGAAGATAGATGTTAGATTAGATAGATAGATAGATTACGTAAATTTATACATAACATAATATTACTGTGGGATAATTATGTATCAATCAACAAAAATGTAGAACATAATTCTTAATGACTAAGACATTGCGCAAATTTTATGGAGAGATAATAATATTTTATGTATCAATTAAACAAACATATCATATAAGTTTTTCATGATATAACTTTGAACAAAAAATTATAAATTATTAACTATATTATAGACGATCTCATCAATTTGCATTCACAAAGATTTAGTTAGTTCGGTTATTTTTACATAATAGTTTAATAAAAATGACTTGCTTTTTTAAAACTAAATTCACATATTATTAACTTAATTCACATATTATTAACTTAATTCACATATGTAACTCATTTATTATTAGGAAGATAACGTACACGTTCTATAACAGTTATTAAAATACACTATGTAAAACTTATTAAGGTTGAAGGAGTAATTATTTTTTTATTGATTAATCAAACAAACATGTTACATAAGTCTTTCATAATATTTAAGACACTAGGTAAACCTTTTGAAAGTGTCATTACTTAAACTATTTTGTGAATAATTTTATTCTATCGAAACATTAAATGAGTGGATAAAATTTTATTAAAAATAATTATCTTCTTACCGCCGCAAAGCGCGAGCAAAAAGCCTAGTGGCTCTTTAAAGCAAGAGAAGTCCCAATTTATGATCTTTGCCTAGTTTATCACCATCAAGACAATACGTTGAAACATCTATTATTTACCTTGCTATTAGTTATTAGACTATGGCGAATAGTAGAGTTGGATAAGGTCCTTAATCACGCCGCGCTAGAAAATTCTAACGGTCGGTGGTAAAGAACTATGTATTCTATGTACAACCCATACCAGATTTTACAAGTCGTTTGTTTTCGAGGATACCCAACTACTGTCATCCATTCTCAGTTTCTAAATTCAATCACCAAGTACAAGAATTCTCCTCCCCCATCCATTTGTTCCTTCTCCCCCACTAATGAGCATCCCTACAGTGCACGCATCCTAGTCTCCCACCTCCTTTTGATCACCTCAAACTCAACTTCAATGATGTTGTCCATCCTTCTCGAGGTAGTGCTACGAGCTTGGTGTTGAAGTTTGCAGACGACCGCACGCATCTCGCTATTGGAATTCAACATCCTGAGATTGGCAACTCGTACCTAGCCAAACTACTAGGTGCTCAAGATGATTTAAACTTGATTCGTCGTTTTGATCTCCATGGAGTCATACTGGAATGGGATTATGAAGTCATCATTCGCTAGCTACGAAGAGGGATAGACATATATGCAATTGGAGGTCTAGTGCTTGAAATGCCATCAGATGATCGTTGCTCTAGAAAAAGCTTAGAAGTTTGTGCAGTCCCTAGGATCGCCAATCGGGCTACCCATAGTGTGGCAAGAAAAGCCATTTATTTGTCTAATTTAGAGTTGCTTTCATTTGATTGTATTGCTTGGCTGGGAAGGAATTTATAGGGTAAATAGATTATTTTCTGTATTTTATTCATATCTCAGAATGAAAAAAAAAAAAAAAAAAAAGAGAAGATCTCGTTAAGCAATTCATCGTATTTTGTACAAGTAAACCTGCCCGCAAAGCTTTTATTCCTTTTAGTCATTGAATAAATAGCAAGAACAACACATATATGATAATAGTGATAGCAACAATACTTGAATCTCTACTGGCAAACAGAAGCTGAAAGAATCCCTGTCCCAGACCTAGTTTTATTCCATGTATTACCCAACTCTAGAAAAAATCAGAGAAATGATTTCCATGCTTCCATAGACCATATGCAGTGACTTCCTTTCATTCACTGGGAAGAAGAGGAAGCTCCAACATCTGGAGGGGGCACTTCGAGACGGATATAGTCGTACAAGAAGCCTATGAAAGGGCTGTTGTTCCTTGGTTGCTTCAAGAACAAGGTATTCTCCCCTTCAACCATCCGACCACCTGGTACGTTCACATTGTACAGCAAGTACAGCCCGTGGCACCCGTGCCTCGCTATCGAGTTGTCCCTTCCAATAAGCCCCGTCGTAAACAATGGCTTCGATGAATTCGGATCGTTTACACGAATCTTGATTTCCAGGAAAATAAATTTCAGTTTAAGCGTAGAGTACCAAGTACACATGTTCAATCAAGATTGATATTTTACCTGAAGCTCAGCTAGAGTAGCCGATGCTAGCGCGATCCGCAGTTTATAGGTACCGTTACGGTCTACTCTGTGGAGTTTAAACTTGATTTGCCATGTGGTTCCCGTGTGTGAACCATCGGCTTGCCTCCTGTTGGATGAAGAAATGCGTTAAAACAAAGCAACAATGTACATAAGCAGGCAAATGAAGGATTGGAGAAGGGGTACGCGAATTCGTAATTGTTGCACATCAGTTAGATCCATTACCTTACCACATGAGCAAAGAACCAGTCTTTGCGGTAGTCACAGCAATCTACGTCGTAAACCAAGTCCGAGTCAGGATACATCTCTGCATATCTATTCCACAATCCGTACTGCCGAAACCTGAACAGTAGACCGACACTCAGGTATTAATCAGATGGACATGGGAACAAGAATGGTGTAACATGGCTTCAAAGTACTTGTAAGCTCCAATAAGATAAGAAGCCTCAGCCCTCAAGTCTATGGTATAAAGAAGTTTCCTTTCCTGGTCCAGGGAAGAAGCAAGAGTGTTTGAGAACTTCGAACCTATCAGGATGACCAATGAAGAGTCTGTTGACATACTGCGGGTCTGGATCAGGAACATAAAATTCTGCGCAAGAACGATCTGGGATGCCTATTTCCCACAGCGTGGGGCCATCTCTTGGAGGCTCATAAACAAGATCACCCATCTCAATATTGCAACCTAAAGACCAGAATTTCATTTGGCCAGCCCATTTAGATTTCTTATCTTTAGCATGAACTAAAAGAGGGATCATCCTAGGTGGTGTTTCGGAGAGACAGAACCTGAGGTTATGGTAATTGCTGCATCACATCGGTAATCTCCAATAAAACCTGGCACCGTTGCATAAAGATTATAGTTTCCAGTACGGACATTTCTAATGACGAAGTAGCCATTATGATCTGTTGTGGTCCAAAACTGATAGTCCTACAATAAGAAAGACGAAAGTACAATCAAATAGATGCAAACTCAAACAATCAATCCAGCAAAAGCTGGGGAGAGAATGAGGTGACCTTGCACTCGCTTTGCCATGATCCTGCTTCACCAGGAAGCGCCAATCCAACATAGGCACCACGTGCCAGCATATAGTCATTGCTCATATACCTAACCATCATTTTGATGGAATCTCAGAATCAAGAAGCATGCATATAAACATGTCACTGGAAGGCTAATAATTCAGAAAACCATTAAAAGTTGTTTCGGTCACTACTACCTGTCCAGTACTAATAGTCTGCCAGCTACACTTCCCCTTTCATGCGGCTTTTGGAAATCCACAGATGCAGGAAAACTGTAAGGCCAACTTTGGACTTGATTCATCATCTGCAGTATCAATGTATCTGAGTGTTTGTCAATCAATAAGGTCACTAATGAGCTGTTCATCGGGAGTTTGGATAAGCAAACCTGTGTTTTAGCATCCTCCCACAGTAACTGAGGATCACTTCCATTGGGTGCTGAATTAAAATAGATAAAAACGGGGCCAAACACTTTCTTCCAATGCTCACCAGCGGCGACCGTAAGCAGCTGAAACTTCCCAGCATAATGTGTACTATGAAACATCTAATTCAGACAAGAATCAACTACATTGGTTAATAAAGAACTACTCTTTTTGACGAAACAATCTGAAGACTGCTAATTAATAAAAACTTCCAACTTACAGCAAGAGTGGTGGGACCAACATGTGAGGTTAGGTTCTGCTTAAATGGCCCACCAGTTCGGAACTCATCGCTTGGTGTGATTTTCCAGAACCCAACTGCTGGGTTAAAAGATATCCACCCGTGTACCCTATTGTCTTTGTTATCACAAGAATATTGGTACTTATCATCCACCTGAAAATTATATTAGGCATGAGTAGAAAATTCAGTAAGTACTAAGAAATGGATGTTCTTAAAGGGTACTGTGAAGTATTACCTCTCCTTTGAGATTTGGATCCTTGGGATTGAGAAGAAGGACGGCTTCTGGAAATGCTAGCGTTTGGCATTTTCCCGCCATCCGGTCTTCTGGGAAAGGCATAATTCTTCTTCGATTATCTGCCATAGCCATGTACTGGAACCTAAAATAAAGGGTTGAGAAGAGAAATTTAGACGAATTTCAGAAACCATGTGTGCTGTTATCATCACTAACATGTAATCATGAAAAAATGAACAGGTCCTATTCTTTGATGATAGATACCAAAATGCATAATCGATGAAGTAAAAATGGCAACATGAAGCAACCCAAAAGAAAACTTCAACAACATCCGGTCTAATTATCTGGGAATAGGAAATTCCACCATAAACTTCATCATTGTCCTTCTGCAAATCGACATTCTGAACAAATGAACAAGGGAACCAACTCTAATGGGTGCAATCAAGTGCTTTAGTCAACCACCTCAAGATTGAGAGCAGAAATAGGCAGCAAATAAGAGAAGTACCTTCTCACGAAACATAACCTCAGCTTATATAACCAATTCGACTTGCAGGAATACGGAAAGACACTTTGAACTTTAACAGCTGATAAAAATGACATATGGTAATGGTACGATCAGTTAAACAAAAGAATCATGCATATACTACTACCCTTAGCTCCAAAGCAAATATTTGTTCTTAAATATCAACTGAGCGAAGTCGCAGCATGTGTAGACTACTCTTAGCTTCAAACAAATATTTGTTCTTTAATATCAACTGACCGAAATCACAGCAGAAGGCTTAAGAACTTCGGAAATAATCAATCATATCCTCAAGGTATCAGAACAATCAAACGAATAGTGGCTGGATTATTACTTGTCTTTTCTGAGTTTGAAAGTCATTCTTGTTTCTCCAATCTCAAAAGGAGGCCATTCCGCCATGTGCTCGTATATGGCATAAGTGTAGAAGCCAGAAGAACCACGGAGTAATATAAACCTGGAGAACAACAGGAGGTATCATGATTCTTATATGAAAATGGCTGAAACTAGATAATGATACAGCTGTCCTGAAATGCAGCACTATTACACAGTATGCTGATACGCAAAATTTGGCGAAAGAACCTTTTATCGATGATCAAGGGAATGGCCTTGCCTTCAAGAGAAGGATCCCACATTCTGATGAATGAGATCTCAATTTGTTCCTCAGTTTGCACAACAACACTAAACTGTGTTCCACTAATCCTGCATACATAAGAGTTTATTCATCATTCGGAGCAGTTTATGTTATCGAGCTTTTCTTGGTCAATTAAACGAATTAGGAAGAAGGATTCATATTCAAAGCAGAGTCTCAAACAATACAGTAACTGAAGAAATCTGTATCCATCAATAATCATAAATAGATCAAAGAGAAAATTTTGGCATCATACACATCAAATATTCCCTTGCCTCCAGGTGGATGCCAGTGAAGATCCCAGTACCTACGCAAGTAAAATCCTTGAGGCTCAGTCTATATTCTATAAACACAAACACTCAAATCACTAGGCATTCCAGCTCTGAAAAAGGAAGCCTAATCATAGCATATCTACCCCCTGTTCGTTTCACGGTTGAGAATCTCAAGCAAGTTGTCAATTCCTCCATATCTAATTCCAGTAACAATGCCCGCTGGATTAGAGAGTGTTACTTGGACTATTCCATTATCCATAACCACCTGCAAATTCAAAGAGTACAATCAAATCTCTGCTAATGAAGCCCTCCTGATTAACTAACATATATCCAATCCATCAACCAATATTGAACACCAAAAGAAGCAACACGATAAGGAAGACGAAAAGAAAAGGCAATTACATAGCGATCTTGAATATGAAGTCGAACCGGTTGATGAGACATGTTGTGGTTTCTCAGAGCATGCGGATCACCGTAAGATCCCTGGTTCGAGTTGTTTGTATCTGCGGAAGTACAAGTGTGAAGAAGGCAAAAGCACCCACAAAAGAAACAATGAAGGCACAGGGAGCAAATTGGTCCTGACTCTTCAAGACTAAGTAGGAAACATTCTAATCCATAGCCCCAATAATAAACGAGAAGTAAATCCAAAGACCAATCATAGCAAGAGCACCCTAAAAATGTGCAAAAACGAATGATGGTGGCTCTCTGACCATGATTGAAAACCGCCATTAATGATCGGCATTATGATTTTGCTTTTCTTGTTTAGCAAGGCCGATGATTCCAAATACACCACCGCACGAAACAGCAGAAGAGCAGTTAATACCTAATTGAATATGTGCATCATCTAATCTAATGAAATCGTAATCAGACACTCCTTTTCTCCATCATCGTCAATCGCAAGCTCTAAATCAATGGCGGGAAAGCGATCGGAAATTAAAACAAATTCCGGAAACGATTTCCTCCAGGCGATACTTTGTCCTATGAAAATCAACGCGGAAGAGAGCGAGAAAGAGAGAGCGTGCGAGCGAGAGAGAGAGTTTCGGGTACCTAGAGGGAGCTGAGAAGTAGGGAGGGTGACATCATTATTACTTCGCCGGATGCAACCGCCACATTTCGCCAGAGAATCCAACACGCTCTCCACTCTCTTCTTCATTCATTCATACAGCTCTCCCGCCGACTGATCAGCGACAAAGAAATCCACGATATGAATTCCCAATGAGATCTGAGACTACAGGCGGAATGATCGGAGATGGCGGCAAAACGTCGCTTCACTAGCCGTTATTATCATGGACCTTGCGAAGAATAAAGAAGTAATACGCCTCTTGGGCCACCGATGCTCAAAATTCTCCTCCTTTACTTGATTGTTTGGGTTTTATCCGTCGGCACCAGAAGCCAGGCGAAAGTAAGGCAACTCTTTTCCATTTTCATTTGAAGATTTTGTATTTGTATTTCCGCTACACAGATTGATGTTCCACATTTTGCTACATCTATTCGCCCATGCCCTGTAGGAAGCAGAACGAGAGCACTTTGACAGCACGGAGTGAAGAAAGAAAGTGTAAGCTGAACAGAAGCTGTCATTTATCCCGACTACAATCTCTAACTCGGACGACTTACAACGAAATTTACGTCTCTCACAAAAGATTACAGATCCCAGAAGAATTGTGATGATAAAGTCTTTGGCTAATTTACATGGAAGGAATCGGGTATAAATTATAACTCTTTTTCTTGCACCTTCTTGATCTGGCTACTGCACTTGATTTGCCTCAGGTCTCTTCTGGAAAAGAAACGAGCCTAACAGAACAGCAATGCCGGTTATGGCAACGGTGAAGAAAAGGCGTTTCCGTGAATGCCCCTGTGGCTGCCTTCTTGGAGGAACTCCCCCTCTTGGCCCCCTCTCTGTTGGCCTTGGATTCACATCCCTTCAGAACAACAACCCAAGACCGCATTAGAATACACTATACAGTCAAGGAAAGATAAAAAAAGAACAGATACAAACTATCGTTGCTGTCCATTTTTTAACAAGACAGCATTCTTCTCTCGGGTTGGAAGCAAACAAAGCAACTTCGAAGTCGTGAATCCCTGCAGCTTGCAGCTGTCTAGAAATGAAGTCCAAGCACGGCCACTCTTTAAGCTATTTGCAGTCTTCGCTCTACATATATGCATACCCGTCCATCGGAAGGTTTAACTCTTAACAATAACTATTTCCTGCATGCTGCCCAAGCTTGCAGTTCTAGAAGCAAACTAGATGTCCAATGTGGTGGAACTTTTCTTACTTTTCACGTGTCTTCCATTCGCAACCAGTTACTATGCTAAGAACCCAATCACACTGACGTAAGCATTCATCTCAAATACTAGAAGTGATGCACTCAAGAAGACACGTGACATAATTAAGATGAAGTATATATACTTAACTAACAAGGCCTTCAAAGCTGCAGAATTACAAGCAGTGACAAACAACAGGAAGTATACAAACATCAGAAGAATATAAACGAAATCATGAATGAGGAAGCATGACGGTACCTGGAAGATCCAACTGTGCTATCGGGTACACCAGTGCACCTAAGCTCATGGTTGTACCTCTCTCTAAGCCTTATATATCTACGGCACAAGGGACACAGTTCTGTCCGGTTCCCACATACCTCCTATAAGTTTCAGAAATAACATTAGGTATCATTTTTGCTAAAACATTGGCACTGAAACATATATATCTGTTTGCTCTACTGAGAAAAAAAAAAAATCAACAGGTTAGTTAGTTCCTACCTGATGCTCAGCCAAGTCAGCTGCAGGCAATGGAAATTCACAGAACTCGCATGTCACAATTCTTTGGGGACAGTTTTCCCCTTTGTGAACAGCCAAAATGTCCCGTTCCATTGTCTCACTGCAGAGAGAACAGGAAACCTGTGCCAGAAACAAATAAGTCAACACACCCTGCTATACTACACAGAACAAACCCGGACATATAAAAACAATAACCAAGTTGAGAGAAACCTGGCAAGAAAATCAATTCTCTCAAGCATGTCTCTGTGCAATTAAAAGAATTCAGTTTTATGTCCTATTTTTACCATAAATGCAGACAGACTGCCCTGCACCAGATATAACCAAACACTAGAACCACTAAGGTTCTCCAGAGAGAAGATACTATGAACCTGAATACCTCCCTAACATAAACAGGAACCAAAATAAAACATCAAACTATATAAGTCTTCTAGATAATAGCGTTCTCTAGACAAATAAATTCTTAACGGAGAAGTAAAGGGATCGAGCAATAACATAGCATTGTCAAGAGGGAGAACTATCAACCATGGTTCTAGGAAAATGTCATCCACTATTCAGTAAACAAAAGTGAATTGCTACATTCGAAAGGTTGCATACCGGTGCATGAGTGTTGGAGTAATGTTCCTCGGAATGTCGTTTGGGGACCATATCCCCACAGATTTTACATTTTTCGAGATTCCGGGAGCAATGTACCATATGCAGATCTAGGTTAGAGGATGGGATGGCTCTATCACTGCAAAAAAATATCATAACCATCATCACAAATGTTCACCTGGCCTTAGAACTCGGAAGAACCATAGAAATAGGGTAATCATATCATCAGAAAATAATGAAATTCAGATTCAGACAGACCACTTAAGTCCTATTGATTTACACAAAGGCAGGAACACATATATCTGGGAGAAACATATAAACAAAGAGCAACCACCATACAGTAAACGGAAAGAAAATAACAACAGACTTACCTAAATTCCACACATTTGAAACGAAGCTACAAACATCGAACACACCAATTGACCCGAAGCAAAAAAATTTCTATCTGATTAAACATTCAACCCAGCGGAGCCAGGAGAACATGACCGGATAAATCCAAACAGCTTATAAATACCCAAATCGAAATGAAAACCTAAGAGCAAAAATGACAACGAAGAAGTTGACCAGATTACCAGTGGGTGCAAACGCTGGTAGACTCCTCAGATGCCATCGCCATAGGCATTCGATAAACAGTGTGCGCGCGCGTCGGTGATCGCTGCTCTCCAGACCAAGAAAGGATCGCGAAAAGAAGAACACGAAGAGAAATTAAGGAGGCAAAAACGAACAAATTACGTAGAGAAATAGCTGAATAAGTTCAACAATCGAAACTTTACCTCCTATTAATTGCTTCAAATCGGGAAAAGGGAGGAACAGAAGAAGAATTCTACTAGTTCTCTGATGATGATGATAATAATAATAATAATAATAATAAATAATAATAATAATAATAATAATCCCTTCTTGTTTTTTCCCCTTGATGTTGGGTGTTTCTAGTTGAACGAAAATTTTTTTTTTTTATCAAAAGATAGCTTGTATTACCAAGAAACAAAGATCACAAACGATTACATCTCCGAACGGAGCCAAACGCAAAAATCAAACCTTCCGATAAGAGTAGGATACAAAGAAAGGGCCTTCCTAGCCACCCTATGGGCTACCCTTAGGGCTGTCGGTTCGGTTCGGGTCGGGTAACCGAACCCGAAACCCGTGAAAACCGAAACCGCCCCCTCACAAACCGAAACCGAACCCGAAATGCTCTTCTGTGGGTTTCGGGTACTGGAACCCGAAATTGATGTTGGCGGGTTTGGTTCTGTTCGGGTGAAACCGAAACCGAACCGGCTTGAGTTTTTTTTTTTTTTTTTAGTTTTGTGATTTGAATTTTACATTGTACAAAACAATTTTATTCTTATTATTTGTACATTCTTATTTTACCATTATGTTTAATTTTATGGGACATGGACAGTATAAAACTAATATTTACATATTAGTTTATTATTAAAATATTAGTTAATTATTGAAATATTTAATTTTATGTATTCTATAACTATAGACATACTATTAACTATTAAAGAGTATTAGTATTTTAGAGACAAAGTAAAATACTTAAACATATTTTATACGTAACTTAATCATATCTTATTTAATTGTGGATTTTCGTATAATTAAATGTTTTAGTAATACCATAGGTCCAAAATTGAAGGTATATCAACTATCATATGCAAAAAAATGTTTGGTGTTTGGCGCAAAATTATAAATAATTTTGTTCAACATAAAATACGACAATCATAGATGAGATTATCTTCAACTCGTAATTAAACACATTAGTTTTACAATTCTCAAATGATAACATCCAAGTAAAATAAAAATTCATCCACCATACAAGATAAATACTACTACCATTATCACTCCTCATCAGGCTCTACATCTACATAAGTCTCATCATTCTCATCGGAATTGTTGTCGACATAGTCTTCTTCCATTTGTGACATAGTAGGACTCGAGACCAAAACATGGGTAGCAGGAGAGCTTCCACTGGGGCCTGCACGAGAGCTTCCACTAGGTCCTGCAGGTGCACTTGCACTCCGAGCTTGAAAAACTACATATACTGGATAACATAAACAATAACAAATTGTTTAAATATGACTTGATCAAGATAACAAATATAAGAATAAAGAGAAAGGTTAAAACCTTACCATTTTGAAATACCACTTCATCACCCTCATCTTCTCCATCAGCCACCAACTCGGAGTCTGAAGATCTTATCCAATCTTCACAACAAATCAACGCCTCCACAACTTCAGGGGATAAGGAGGTCCTAAACGAATCTAAAACTCGACCTCCTGTGCTGAATGCCGACTCAGAAGCAACAGTGGAAATAGGAACAGCAAGAATATCCCTAGCCATCTCAGAAATAGTAGGATATTTCATCCCACTGCGAGACCACCATCCCAAGATGTCAAACTTGTATTCATCCTCTTCTGAACCCACCAATGCTCGTGTAACCACTTCATCCTCCTCCTCCTCCTCAAGGTACCTATCAAACTCAGATTTGGAACTTTTTCTAGTTCCTTTCAGAATGGCATCTCTTTTCATTTTCCTAAAATCACCCCAAATCTTCCCTTTCTTCTTCCCATCCCCACTTCCACTAGGTTCTTGCACATCTTCCTGAATCACAATGGGAGAACTGCCAGGAAGTCCGAGCCTATGCTTGTAATGGTCAAACAAAAGACGCATTTCATCCTTCACCTCTTCGACCAAAGCTTTACCCCTGCTCTCACCATACACCTTTTTCAAAGCTTGTTCAAGATATTCAACTTTCCGCCTAGGATCTAATATGACTGCCATATAACACAACCGATTCATCTTTGAATTCTCCAACTCATCTTCAAACCAATACTTGGCAAGTTTGGACTTGATTCTATCAGCCATGCAAGACACCTCAAAATCTATACCATCAGCCCACTCAGATATCATAGTATACATTTCACATACCTCATCAAACAAGAGGTGTAAAGTCACATATGAAGTCCCAGAAACTCGAACAGTCAAATCATAGAATAGCTTCAGGTAATCAATCAACCGTCCCACACTAGACCAATCATCAGAAGTCGTGATACCAAGACTTTCATTTCCATATCTTTTTTCATTGAGATGTTTCTTGAATTTCTTATCATTTCTAGCTAATGTCTGAAATGCTTTCTCAAATGGCTTTGCAGATTCCAACATCAGATACGTTGAGTTCCATCTTGTAGCTACATCCAACGAAACAAATTTCTTCGAAGCTATCTTTTCAAACTCAATGCAATCTTTAAATTTTCTGCTCCTAGCTGGTGTAGATTTAACCCACTTCACAGACTCTCTCACTCGCTCCACAGATTTACCAGTTTCTTTAAGCCCGTCCTTCACAGCCAAATTAATATTGTGAGCCACACACCTCATCTGCAGATACTTCCCATCCAAAATATCTGATCCCCACTCTTTCAACTGTTCCTTCATATGGATAGCAACCACATCATTGACACTAGCATTGTCCATTGTTATACAAAACACCTTCCTAATGCCCCACTCCACCAAACAACTAGCCAACTGTTTTCCAATTTCACTTCCAGAATGTTTTGTAACTTGGACAAAGTTAATAATTCTTTTATGCAATTTCCAATCTCTACCAATGAAATGAGCAGTAATGCACATATAATTGAGATTGGACAAAGAAGTCCAAGTATCAGTTGTGAGCGATACCATCCCTAAACACTTAGTCTTGAAATAGTCCTTCAGGAACTCTCTATTTTCAAAGAACACCTTGATACAATCCTCTCTAACGGTTTGACGGCTAGGTAACACAAACATTGGACAAACACGAGCCATAAACCGTTTGAACCCTTCATGTTCAACATACCTAAATGGTAATTCATCTATGATAATCATCTCCGCTAAAGCTCTCCTAGCATCAATCTGATCGAATTTCCAAGTGCCAAGAGTGTGTACCTGGCCTCCAGAAGATGATAGATGGTCGACTATCAGCTCACCCTTTTCTATCTTTTCCAAACAACTCTTTTTATGACTCCGCAGAGTAGAAGTCCCATATCTAGTGGGAGCAATAAGAACACTATTGCAATAAATGCATCTTGCTTTCTCCACTCCATCCTTCATAAAACGCTTGAAGTGTGGCCAAACGTCAGACTTTTCTTTCCTTTTCCTTGAAATTGTCTCCTCGTCTATTGTTTGAGCAGGAGGTACATTGGTGGTATCGGTAGACGATGCAGGAGCAGGAGCAGGATCGGAAGACGGTGCAGGAGCAGGAATGCTGGTACTCTTAGAGCGTCCTCCACGTCTAGGACGAGAAGCCGATGGTGCCTCACTTCCCCTGTCAAAATGAAAAGTTGAGTTGAGTTAAAACCTTTAAAGTGAAGTGTGAACCACTTAAACACCATAACAGTGTTAATGTATTAGCAATTAGCTCCCCTTACCCTCCCACAACTCAATTTATCGAGACAAGGAATGAAATGTAAGGAAGTCAATATGAGGTGTGAAGCTAGGAACAAAACCAATCAAATTAGCTAGCCATTAGCCATTCATAAGTAATCCGGTCAACAATTTGCCTTCATGATACTAAACAGTTACCATCTCACAGCTAAACAACAAACAGAAGTCCATCAACAAACAAACAAGCAAACAGACTAAGATAGATAACCATTTGTTTCAGGAGTCCATCTCATAGCTACATACGTTTTTCAACTTCCAAGGCTCAACAGATTCAGAAAATATTATACTAAACAGTTACCAAATTTTCCTTGTAGGCGCCATAAACAGACCTGAGCTACCCCCGGTAGCCAGAGCCATGTAGCGCTTAGCAGACATTAAAGATCATTCATCAGGTTCATCTACAAACTAGAAATAACATAATCTTTCCCTTGAGACAGTAAACATATAACCTAATCTCGAAGGATGTTACAGAACTTCCCAAAAAATTTCATGAACTTTCCAACCAAAGGCCAATAAACATCTAAAGCCACTAAACAGCATGGAATTCGTCCACTGCAACCCCAATTCTCATCTAGAAGTAACGTGGCTTCTAAGGGCCTGATCAAGACAGCCACCATCATCAAAGTTGAGAGTGTAGCTGCGGATGTCATAGCTGAACTGTGAACTGCTGTTGCTGCTCTTCTTCCACTGTCCCCTCAGCTTGTAAACCCATCGCGTAGCGACATAAGACCTACCACTACTCCTCCTGCGGCTACCCAACGGAACTTTTGGCTTCCTATCAGCAATGGATGCCATGGCAGCAGCTGATGTGCTTCGAGGAGAGGGGAAGAAGACTAAAGAAACGAGAATCAGAATCCTAAAGGCGGAATCTTTCGGATTCGGGTACAAAGATTTCCCCCTTGCCCTCTCTGGGTTCGACTCAGAAACTGCTGGCGATGAAATTTTACTTCACCCACAATCTCGACTCAGAGTCAGAGACAGAGAGAGATAGAGAGAGAAGCAGAACCCAGTAACAAAGAAGTTGAAGCAATAGAATTTTTCGAAGAGACTCACTGGGATTCCATGGTGGAGTCGTCGGAATAATGTGGGCACTGGGTCTCTCCTTCTCGAGGTGAAGAGCGAAGCGGCGAGGACGATGATGGCCGGCGAGGGATTCGATGGCGGTCGGAGGTCCTCACGAGGCCGCTGGCGGCGAGGACGATGATTGTGGCGACTGGCGAGGGAGCTCTGTTTTGTTTGGCGAAGACGAAGAGACTGCGCCGGCTGCGCCTGCGAGAACGAGAGGTGGAGGGAGTCGAGAGATAGGGCTGAGGCCGACTCTTCTTCCCAAAACGACAACGTGAGATTTTTCGGTTTTCGGGTTGCTCTCGGGTTTTCGGGTTTCAGTAACCGAAACCACCATTGTATATACCGGGTTGAACCCGAAAAAACCGAAACCGAGAATGCAAATAACGGTTCGGGTTCGGGTTAAACCGAAAACCCGAAACCGAACCGACAGACCTAGCTACCCTATTGTTATCCCTACTTACAAATTGGAGAACATCCACTTCCACCGCAGCCAACAAGCCCTGGACTTCCCGCAACACTGCTCCTCCATAACAATCCCCCGTATCGCCGGCTAACACCTTGTCGATAACCACCTTCGCATCTCCCTGGTAACAGACGCCATGCACACCCATCGACCGACACCACAAGATTGCCTCACGGAGAGCCAGCAACTCCACCAGCATGGGATCCGTAATCTCCGCCCACCCCTTCCCCAAGGCACTAACCACTACCCCATCCGGCCCTTGTAGGACAATTCCCACCGCAGAGTGCGACGCCTGACGAACTGCTCCATCAAAGGAGCATACCCAAGCCACCCCCTGCGGAAGTCGATGTGGGTCCAAAGGCAGCAGCCGACTTTGCCCTCGCAATCGGACCTCTGCCAACCTCGTCATTTGCTGCCATTCCTCAACCTGGACTAACCATTGGTTACGTAAAACCTCCCCAGTATATTGGCACCCCTCAAACACCACCCAGTTACGAGATTTCCAAACCCGCCACAGCAACGAGACAACACTAATAATAACCTACTCACTGGCCACCTTTTCCAACAGCCGCCGAACAAATACCCCCATATTCTCCTCCGGGAGCCCAGCCCGGACATCCATCAATCCTGACTCTGCCCATAGCTTGTTAGCCACAGGGCATTGAAGGAACAAATGCTCCAGGTTTTCCACCTCATGCCAACACACCGGGCACCGCTCCAGCACCTCAATCTCTCGGGCAACAAAGGCCTCCGTGGTCGGCAAAATCCTGCTCATGACCTGCCACATAAAAAACCTGAGCTTCGGCGGAATCCCAAGATTCCACACCTTCCTCCATAATGCAGAATCCATCCAAGATGGCTCACACTTCCTCTTCCATCGGCTCCCGTTCAACCTCATCGCCAAATGATATCTAGACTTCACCGTATACTCCCCCGATCGATCCTCGTGCCAGATCAACTTGTCCCGGACAGGAAGCCGTGGGAGAAAAATCGCTTTAATCGCCCTCCCGACCGTAGGGGGAAAGCAATTAGCCAAGCAATCATCACACCATGTCCCTGGTTCTTCCCCCATCAGACCAGCCACCGTAGCACCCTCCCAAAGATGCGCCGAGGGCAACACCACCGGAGGATTAGGATGGCACCCCGGGACCCAATTTGCTGTCATAATCTCCACCTCCTCCCCCGACCCTAATTGCCATCGCATGCCTGCCTTCAACAGTTGAACCCCATGCAAGACACTCTGCCACCCCCAAGACGGTCTCGACCGCGCTGTCGCCGCCAAAAGCGTTCCGTTCGGAAAATACTTCCCTTTATAGATTCGAGCCAGCAACGAGTCCGGATCCTGCATAATCCGCCAGCCAACCTTCGCCAGAAGAGCTTGGTTAAACTGCTCAAAACGACGGAACCCCAATCCCCCGTCATGCTTACTTCGACACAGTTTTCGCCATGACATCCAATGAATTCTATCAATCGCACCACCCCACCAGAAGCGAGCCATATACTTATCAAGGCGACGACAAAGCGTCACCGGAAGCTTAAAACATGCCATAACATAGACAGGCAATGCCGCCGCCACCGACTTCAACAGAGTCTCCTTCGCCGCCCAGGATAAATGCCGCTGTTTCCATCCTTGCAACTTCTGCAAAAGCTTCTCCTCCAAGAAGCGAAATGTTTCAGACTTCGACCTAGCAATTAAAGTAGGCAGCCCTAGATACTTATCCTGGACCCCCATAGCCCCAACCCCCAATCGAGCTGCCATATCCTCACAATCCTCCTGGAGAACATTGCGACTAAAACAAACAGCCGAATTATCCAAATTAACCTGCTTACCGCTCAATTCCTCATATTCTCCCAACACTTGGAGCAGGTTCTCACACTGTTGCATCGAGGCTTGCACAAACATATAAGAATCATCCGCGAAGAATAAATTAGTCACCCTAGGTGCTTGCGGGCTAACCCGCACCCCCGTTAACCGTCTGTCCAACACTGCTTTTTTAATCAAAGCAATCAACCCCTCCGTAGACAGAACAAACAGAAGGGGGGACAACGGATCCCCTTGTCGCAGGCCCCGGGATGACTGAAAATACCCTGCAGGCATTCCATTCATCATAACGGAATAGGAAGATGACGAAATACATTCATGAATCCATCGAACCCACTGCTCCCCAAACCCCAGCTTCTTCAAGAGCGAAAGTAAGAACGGCCACTCGACCCTGTCATAGGCCTTTTCCATATCATATCAACCTTTAGGGCCATGTAACCCTTCTTCCCTTTCGTCTTGATTTTAAGATAGTGCATAATTTCATGTCCAATCAGAACATTATCAACAATTTGTCTCTCCTTGATAAAAGCATTTTGCTCAGGAGAAACAACTGTTGGTAACACCAACGCAAGTCGATTTGCTAAGATCTTCGAGATAATCTTGTAAATCACTTGCCATAGGCTGATCGGCCTCAATTGGCGCATCGTCTCAACCTCTTCCACTTTAGGAATTGACGTAATCCACGTGTGGTTAAAGCTTCGGAGCAATTTTCCATTCTCAAAGAAAGACCCCACCGCCTCCACCACCAAGGGCCCTACTAAGTCCCAATACGACCGAAAAATTTTTGCCGTGAACCCATTAGATCCTGGAGCTTGTGTCAGCCCAATCAAAAAAACCGTACGCCGGATCTCGTCAGCCGAGACAGGAGCAACTAGCTTCTAATTCATATCGGTCATGACCACCCTCTCAATAGGCAACGACGCCACCATAGCATCCACATCCCCAATCTGGTTTTCCGACGTAAACAAAGTACCAAAAAACTCAACCGCCATTTTAGCCTTATCAGGCTCTTCTTTGACCCATCCACCATCCTCACCACGAAGTTTGGCGATAAAGTTCTTCCTTCGTCTAGTTCGCGTGACCGTATGGAAATATGAAGAATTTCTATCCCCTTCCTTCAGCCATCGAACCCGGGACTTTTGTTTCCAGAAAAGCTCCTCCGCTGTCCATTGTCTTCCTAATTCCCCTTCCAGTTCCCTTATCTTATCCCAATCCAACGGATTAACCCTCCTGATCGCCTCAATCTCCTCTTGAAGAGTTCGAATATTCCTTGCTGAATTAGACACCCCCGCGCGGGCCCAATCATACAGCATATGCCGGACTTTCTTAAGCTTCGTCCACAATTTATACATGGGCAACCCCGCCTCCTCCTGCGACCAAACATAATTGACCATCAGGCGCACCTGCGGGTTTTCCACCCATCGGGCATCAAATCGGAACAATCGTCTGGCCATTCTCTTAAACGGTTTATCAGCCACTATAAGCGCCCGATGATTGGATCCAATATCCGTACAATGGAGAACAATCGTATCCGGGAAGGACTCCACCCAGCCCGCAGAGCCTAACGCCCGATCCAACCTTTTTTGCACACACGCAGCCCCCATCTGCTTATTCGTCCACGTGAACAAGGGTCCCTGGAACCCAAGGTCCCGCAAAGCCAGCGCATCAACAAAATCACGAAAATCCTGGGACTGGGCAGGGGTCCACGGCACCCCTCCATCCTTCTCACTAGAGGACAAAATCGAATTGAAATCCCCCATGATGATAAAAGGGTCTGAAATCCCCTGACAATAAACACGAAGAGCCTCCAACTGCCCTCGCCGCACTGCCTCAACACAACTAATGTAAACACACACCACCACATACGGAAATTCCATATTATTAATCCGAATAGAAATAAAAAAAAGAAGAACTAGATAGAACCGAGGCACAAATGCTCGGGGACCACCCTACCGCTAGGCCGCCAGACATATCAACGACATCAACAAGAAAACAAGAATCTAAATCAAACCCTAACCCTCGCATACGACCAGTGACAACTTTTCGACGAGATCTGGTCTCCGAAAAGAATACAAAATCCGGATTATTAACTCTAACAAGCCCTAACAGCGATTGGAACGTGAGGGATGGCCCAATCCCTCTCACGTTCCACGATAATAGTCTCATTTAATCGATTGGGGCCATTTCGGGCTGGCTACCTCCACCGACTCTCCTGGCTCCTCGCCCGTCTTTTCCGCGCAAATTTTCTTTGTTGGTGTCGGATCCCGCGGAAGATCCTCCACCATATCCGCTAATCGCTTTCGATCCTCTAACTCCTCGTCCGCAATCGCCATCCTGAAAACCTCCGATAGCTTGGGCAAATTAGAACCATATTCATCAGCCACCGTTGTGGTCGCATCAACCACCATTAAACTCTCGGCCCCGTCCTGCTTCTCCACCACC